CTTAAATTATCAACCATAGAATTGATACAGGAGTTGAAATCATTTTTGTATAATAACAAATTTGAATTTATTTATTTATCTGGGCTCGTTACAAAGGACATTATCAATAATTGTTTTAATGAATTGGTAGAGAACCTGAATCAAGTAGAAGAATATTTAGCAAATTTAGATAGTCAAAAGGAATTTTTTAAAGTCACCATAAAAACTTTTAATATTAATCACATGTTGGATATAAAATACACACATGTTTTTAATAGATTTATAATAAGTAAGTAAATTTTATTTAATTATTTTTCTTATATATTCTACACTTAAATATTGTATTTGATATATACAATCTAATTAAAATTTTTCTCCGTATTTATTTCTCAAATATTTTTTCAACATATTTTTATATCAAAAATATAATAGGTTGACACAGATATAACTTTTCATTCAATAATATTTTACATAAATTTATTTTTAAATTCTTTTTATGATTTAAGACATAATAACTAACATAACGTACCATATTTATTTAAAAATTATGAAAAACTTAAAAAAAAATACTTCAGGTGAGCCATTTTGTATAGAAGATTTTATGAAAAAATTTGGTAAAAAAAATCTTATTAATGTTCAGTAATAAAATATCTAATGCATATTAAAGTTTATTACTCATTATTAATTAATATCAATTTATTTTTAAATTATTTTTATGTTTTAAGACATAATAATTAACATAACGTACCATGTTTATTTAATTTATTTTAAAAAAAGTTAAAATTACGAAAAACGTAAAAAAAAACCCAGCACAGTGGGGTGGCGGCATAGTTGGCATAGTTGGGTCTAGTATAGATGATATCTGACAGTGATTAAAATCACTATCATAAAAAACGCTTCGATGCAAATCTGTAGATAGTGTTTAATTTAAAAAAAAAACTTTGTCAAGTGAGAGCTGAGAAAATAAATGATAGCTACAAAAAAATACACATAGTAAAATAATATTAATATGAATTTCTTCTCACGAGAGGAGACTACAGTAATGAGATCCTTGATATTTATTGAAGTTATTGAATCTTTTTTTAACTCAAAAATAATTAAGAAAAAATTCAGTGACACAGGCGTGAAACTTCGCTTAATAAAAATGGAAATTTAGCTATTTCAAATTTTAAAGTTATTTTTCTCAACTTCAAAGAAACAAAAAAATTTAAATATGTTTAACTTTTTATACTATATCAATTAGATTAATATAATATTTATAAAAATCAGTGTAATCCCCTTATAATAAAACAAAATACAAAACCAAGAATTTTAACACAAAATATCATATTTTTGAATACGATAGCTATTTTCACTACGAAGACAGAATCAAGTCGAAAAATTTTTTTTTTTAATATTAAAGTATATTACATAAGCTTTAATTTAAGATATATATAAAAGTGTTAGTATTTCCGGAACACTTTCAAAAATTAAGTTGAAAAAGTTCTACTTTATATATGCATTTTTATGTTTTGAACCCTCTCTGTATTATATACAATTGTTCGATTTAAAAAAAAGTATGTCGATTTAAAGAGGTATATTAATATTATTTCTCATAAAAAAATTGTATTCATTCATACATTGTTCAAAAAGTTATAGCGTTATAAAATTAAAAAATAAAAAAGAATTTTTTTACAAAAATCGTATTTTTTTATTAACTTTAATGACTATTTTCAACATGAAAACAAAATAAAGTCCGAAATTTTTTTTTTAATATTAAATTATATTAGATTAGCTTTAATTGAATATATATATATATAAGTGTCAGTATTTCCTGAACACTTTCAAAAGTTAAGTTGAAAAAGTTAATTTTTTTGTGAAAAAGTTGTCATTTTGAATCTCCCTCTGTAGGCTGGTAAAGGGTTAAATTTAAAAACAAAATATACCAAATGATTGGTAAAGACATCAAACATCTATAAAAAAAATTATATTGATTTGTTCATTTTTGAAAATGTTATGGCAGTTTTAAGTAAAAAAAAATTAAAAAATTAGGGATTTTTAATTTTGTAATTTTTTTGCAGATTTCCCTCATTTAAGGGGAACGAGGGAAATTTTTTCAATTTTTGAGGGTTATGTCTTCGACTAGATACGATTTGTGATCTTTTGACGTATCGTTGAAAGAAATCGGTTCGATGAGAGCTGAGAAAAAGTGGTAACAGACACAAAAAAAAATACATCATAGTAAAATTAATACTTACTCAGCTTCGCATCGAAGCTAAAATACTTCAGGTTAGCTATTTTATATAGAAGATTTTATGGAAAAATTTGGTAAAAAAAATCTTATTAATGTTCAGTAGTAAAAATCTGTAGAATTTTAAATTTTAATACTCATTATCAAACATTAGTTTTTTAAATTTGTCATATAGAAATATAAGTACAATCATCTTTTATTTTTAGATGAGTTATGTAAAACTAAAGATATTTACACAATGTTATATAAATTCAATGATGATTATGTCAAACAAATCGATGAATTCGGAGATAAAAGTGCAGCCATTGATAATGAAATTAGAAACAAAATTGTAAGACATCAAAATCATCCTGAAATAATTATACAGAATAGTGATAGATGCGAATTAAATAATTACAATTTTTATCCTAAATACTTGATAAATTTCATATTGTACATTTAAATTATGTCAATTTTTATATTTATGAATAAATATGCAGATTTTAGTTGATATTTAAATTACCTATTGTATTCTATTATTAGCTTATAAACTTATAACAATTTATCTACTTCCATACTAAACTGCCAGACTAAAAGTAGTTGGGGTAAAGGTGAGCAATAAGAAGATCTATTTCAAAAATTTAAAGAAAAAGGTAATTTTTGATATTGTTTTAATATACAAAAAAATGCTTATGTTATACTATAATATTGGCCGACGTCGGCGGGCTGTCTGAGGGCCTGTTCGATTTCAGGAGGGCCAAAACTGACCAGGGCTTTGGGGTAGCGGTGAGCCTGGACATCAGAAACGCGTTCAATTCCGTGCGATGGTTACACAACCTCGAAGCGCTGGACGCGTTTCGGATGCCTTCTTACCTCAGGCGGATGATCCGGTCGTACTTTAGCGATCGGGTCATCCCTTACGAGAGCGCCGCGGGCCCGAGAGTCAGACCTGTTACAGGAGGCGTCCCGCAAGGGTCAGTTCTCGGGTTTCTGCCGTGGAACATCGCGTACGACGCGGTGTTCCGCTATCACCGCACGTGCGCGTCGTCTGCTACGCGGACGACACGCTGGTGGTTGCGGAAGGCGCCTCGTCCGAGGAGGCTGGATCTCGTGCGACCTGCGCGCTCAGTGCAGTCACCGCCTGGATCCAGCAGGAGGGGAGTCGACTGGGCTTAGTCTTGTCAAGACCGAAGCGGTCTTGTTCACGGGCAGGTACAAGTTCACTCCTCCACGGCTCGCCGTGCTGAGGGTGGAGATCCCGTTTAAGGACTCCATGACTTATCTGGGCCTTGTCATAGATAAACGTCTAAAGTTTGGGCCGCACATTACTCGTGCGACTGTAATAAACCAAAAAGAAAAAAAAATGAAAGAAAATTAAAAGAAAGCGGGAATTTTAATTAAAGATTAATTTATGGGGAATGAATAATGGAGGATAAAAATGGTGGTGATGTGGATTTTACTATTGAAGGTGTGAATGCTTATATTGTACCAAAAGAAAATCTGAGGGTTGATTTTTAGTCAGACTAAAGATATAATATAGCGTATGTTTGGCCGAATAATAATAAAAATTATTAAATAAGGTAATAAAAGGCGGAGTAACACATGTTTAGATGTGGCAAGATATGTAAGGGTGCAAGGAATATAATGATATGATTGAAGTAGAATTTAGAGAAGTGAATAAACGTAGTTTAAATACATGAGGGTAATGATCAAATAAATAAAAATGTACACAAACGTTGTGACAAAAATAATGAACTGATATCGGGGTTGAACAATATTGAATAAATGAAGTCAATTATCCTACAAAACTTTATTACCTATCTTAATGGTTTATTACGCAATAGAGTATTTATATTTGAAAGCGGAATTTAAATTTGTACTTACCTTGTATCCCACATAATGTAATGCTTATTTTAGACAATCCAATGTTGATTATGAGTTTACACTATATTTCACACGTTGTACACTTTGAGTTTGATAGTAAATATGACCGTTTGAGAATAAAGCGTTTAATTATAAATAATGCGAAACCGTTACACAAAATCTATGACTGTATTATTATATGCAAGAGATTCTATACACTCTGTATTTTTTTAATTATAATCAAATAATGTATCTTTAGTTGACTTTGTTGAATGATCGCCGAATCACAATCAGGGAAGTCGCTGATGATGTTGAAATACTATTGGTTCATGCAATGAAATTATTTCGAATGTTTTGGGTACGAAACGAGTAGCAGCAAACTTTGTTCCAAAATTGTTGAATTTTAAACAAAAACAGCGGCGAATAACCAAAAAATAGATACGGAGTATTTATCGTCAATTATGTTTTTGACAACAGATATGATTTATTTATAGTTGTACATAAAGCATAATCTGTGAGTTAACATTTATAAATACACAAAATGGAAATAGAGAGAACATATCTGTTCTCTAAAATATCTAAAATATGGTGTAAATATTATAAAATAAAAGTAATTAATAGTGCTAGTATCTTATATAAATCTATATACAAATATTGATTTAGTGATAATAGTATAATATAAGTGTAATTTTGAGTAAAAATATAATAGTTATAAAAGTATAATAATAATAAATGTGCGATAAAACTATTTTAATAAACATGTAATTAAAATGTTATAACGTAAACTAAAGTTAGTGATTAATATAAATGTTTATTGTATACAATTGATTTGATTTATTAATAATTAATAATTCAACGATAATTCTTTGGTTCCAGGGAAGAAGGGCTTAAGTCAATTTTTGGTGGTTTTCAATACAAATAAATAAAATTTTGAAAATTGCTACAAGTGTAAATTAAATGTTTATATTCCTATATCAAATATTTTTATTATTAGTTTTTCATGTCAAACAAATGTGTAGTAATAGATATATGTACATATTTAGCAATTACAAGATAAATGCACTTGAGCCATTTTTATTTTTGAACTTTTGACATAAGTCATTACGATCATGACTTATGACTTTTAGATTCTATACGTTTTGACTTAACTTAGAATTTCAATAAATTCGTATCAAGGAAACAATAACAAAATACTAGGGTATAACCTTTACATTTATTTTTGTTGAAATAGAATCATAAAAAAAAATTGTTTTTCTAGTAAAACCTTACTTTATTAATAATTAGTATAACAAATTAATTTAAAAATAATATTTTGATATATTATTTAAAATTTTGTTTCACATTTGATTAATACATTCATTCCTCTGAGTATAATTTAACTGTACACATATAATAATGTGTATGTATCATAATATTATTATAATATAGAACAAACATAATATAAAATAAAATAGTACAAAGAATAAAAGTAAAAAAATTATAAGAAATTAAAATAAAAAAATTAATCATCATTATCAATAGACAAATCTTCATCAAGATCTGGATCATAATCTTGTTTCTCAGTAGAATCACTATTCAAATTTTTATAAAAATCATGGTAAATATTTGGTATTAACGGGAGAAGTTGGAGTAGATCTCTTTTTTTTTCTTTAGATATTGGAACTGGTGAATTATACATTTTTTGCAATGTAAAATTATTTACACGGCCTCTTCTTTTTAGATTTACTATTTTAAACGGTTCATCTTCAGATAAACTTGTTTTGTAGTATAATGTACCAATGTTACTACTTCTATATTGCAACCAGGCAACATCATGCCAAACAAATTTATTTCCATTTTCATCTTTTTTGCGTACTACTAGAGGTCCTTTCAATAATTTTTCAAAATTAAAAAAATGTTCCTGATCCATTTCATGCACAAGAAAAGGTTTCTTTTTGTTTGTACAGCTTATAAGTGTAGCCCAGTCTCTTGGATGTGCAATTTGAAGTGCGGAATGTTTCTTCTGTTTTTCTATTAGCGAGTGATCTGAGTCGCACTCCATATGAGTGTGACCAGGAGTTAAAAACTTGTGATTTATTTGTTCAATATATTTTTTTTTTTCAAGAATAGTAAAAAACATAGCAGAAAGGTATGAATTTTTGTTTTGGCCTGCACAAGAGTCTGAATAAAGTATTATTGTTTTCACATTATTTGATATATTTGAAAGTTCTTTATAAATACATGATGCTATTTCGTTAGCACCTCTTCGAGCAATTGTTTCGTGCCACAAGTAACAAGATGCCTGACCAGTAGCCAGATTATGTGTAGAAAGATTATAAGTCCAATACAATCTTTTATAAAAAGCAACAGACGTTTCAAGAAATGGGGTTGGCAAGCATTGTTGTAAATCAAAAGTTAGACAAAGGATTGAAGGGTCTAATTTAGATTTATCTTTGTCAATTTTTTTAGTATTATATGCATCATCAGCATTTTTTACATGGTGATCACGATCTTCAATCAATTTTTTTTTGTTTTCATCATTAGTTTCCATTTCAATCTTCATTTTAAGAACATCACATTTATGACAAGTGTCCGCTTTTCTCAACTTAAATTTTAATTTTGTTTTCTTGAATTCCCTTTCATAAATTGATTTACTAACTGGTTTTTCAGTCTCAGAACGGTATAATTTGTACATCAAAGTAAGATTTAAATGTGATGGTAAATACTTTGTATCATTAGTACGGCGAGTATAGTGACTTTCATATGTTGGGAATGTTGAAATATGTTTTTGAACATTTAAAATTGCTTCTTCTGTAGTTTTGTTAACAGGACATCTTTTTCCACGACCATCTAACTTGGTAATACCAGATGGACTACAATTTTTATTTTCAATAGCTGTACGGACAAACTTCTCATTTTCATGTAATGTAGTCAGAAAACATTTTTTGCAGCACTTTTTAGGTCTTCCATCATGATTGAAATAATATTCATAAGTGACATTTCTTATTTTTAAAGAATTTTGATTTCGTTTCCTAGAACTTATTACACTTCTTTTAGACACTAATGATCCAATGAAATCTACTCTTCGAGTACGAGAACCCAGACTCCAATATTCATTAAATATGTTAGATTTAATGTCTTGCAACCAATCTTTACATTTCATACGACATGCAACCAACTCCTTGTCACTAGATCGAGCACCTACTTTTTTGCCTTTTGCTGTTGTATATGGAAGTCCTTTTTGTCTATTTTGCTGTCGAATCCGTTTTAATTTTCTGGAATAAGGTCGGATGGAGACATCATTTTCATCATGATTTTCTTCAACTTTAAAATAAAAATCACATATTAATATTTTAATATATTACATTTTTAAAACTTATGGCTATAAATAATTTTACTTTAAAAATTTGTTAAAGAAAGTTGTTTATTAAAATGATTAATTATTTTGAATTATAGTTCATTGAATGATTTAAATAATACAAAAATGAGTGTTTTAAACAATTTTATTAACATAACTCACATTAAAATAAATTAGTATTACAAAACACATTTTTTAAATTATACTTACATGTATTTTGGACTTGATTTGAAAATATTGAATTATTAGATTCATCACTATTAGATTCATGTAATACAGGAGAATATGGTTGATAATCTTTATCATTTTCATCATCATCATAAACTTCATCATTTGTACTACTTTCATCCCAATTTTCATCAACTAAAGAAAGAAAAGTAATTATAAATGATAAAATTAAAATTTGCACAGTATGAAAATGTATATTTATTTTTAAAATATGTAAGAAGAAGGAATTTCCTACATTAATTATTAATTGGGTATATTTAAAAAAAAACCCAGCACAGGGGGGGCGCGGCACAGTGGTGAAGTGGCATAGTTGGATCAAGTATAATGATATCTGATAGTGATTAAAATCACTATCAAAAATAAACGCTTCGATGAAAATCTTTAGATAGTGTTTAATTTTAAAAAAAATGGTGTTTTATTCCAAAAGCTACTTGATCTGCTGGTTCCTTATTAATA